GGGCTCACCAAGAGCTAGTATCTCATTACGTGGCCGTGTTGCCATGTCAAGGCATACCCTGGTTTGTATGACTAACACAGAGTCAGTCACCCATTTCGGGGTCATGTCTCCCTTTAAGTGTGACAAACCAAACAGACATCCCATACTCTTAGCTGTGTAATATTTGTACAATTCAAACCAACTAAAAACTTAGCATGCTAAATATGTTTAAAAACTGGAAAACAATTAGCATGGACGCTCCACAAAGCTCCATATGCATGTAAGACTATTATTCATGTCGTGTATTTAAATCAGTATCATGCATAACATTTACCACCACAAAATCATAATATGATAAAATAACTTTGTACATATGTATGCATCCAATTGTAAGTCTTATAAAGGTTATTTATCTGTGTGAATCAACTATTGATAGCTCTTGACATACCTACATATTTCATACCATAATATCCAATCAATTGCTAAATTTCTGAAAAAGTCAACAATAGTCAAGTATGGTCAAACATGACCCGACCTTAAGTCAAATACTAAAAACCGAATCTCTTACGGACCGTTTACCAAACGTTTACCTAGGTAAGTGCTTACCAAGTTATTGGATGAATATGGTAAGGACCAAGACTCTTACCTAATAAGAGCGAGACAAGGATCAAGAGTCTTATCCGGTAAGTAAGGACGATTACTCTTTACCATAGTAAACGTTTACCGGGTAAATTATTGCATACGATGGACTAAAATTTTACCCAGTAAGTAAATGATGGTGTTATATTTACTGGTAAACGCTTACCCAGGTGAGTGTTTGTTAAATGACCCCTTGTTGTCTCAAATATTTCCATTTAATCTCATAGTTAAATTCCTTGTAGGTTAAACGAGATAAAAGTCAACATTTGGTCAAACTCGAAAACATGTAGTATTGGTGCCCAAAATTTTGGAAGTTCTGTTCAAAATCCACATTTAACATGCTAAAGAACAACCATAATTGACAAAGAAAAACGAACTCCAGTAATGAATAATTTTTTATCTGTGATTTTGACAAATTTTTATTTTTAACAAAAACTTGTACACAACAAAATGATAAATGGAAAAGACAACGATATTGACTATTAAAACTTCAATAAGTTAGAATCAATCAAATTCAATTTTTCTCGCTCCATCTCAGAGTACCCATTCACGTGAAACTGATCTGCTTCTATTTCTATTTTTCGTAAGCGAGCCCGGGTTTTTTTCAGCTGTTCGATGACCCGCCCTCTCGCGCAGTTCTTCTGAATTTTTAATAGTATTCAAGAGAAGATAAATAAAATCAAACATACCGACATAAAAATGTTATGAATTTTGAAATTTTGTTTGTTAATCGTTGACCAAATGTGAGAAATTCCTAATGTTTTTTCAAATAAACGATTTTTTTTTTTTTGTTAATTTATGTGAGAATTAAAACAAAAATAAAGAAATTAATGATAAAAATATATATATTTCATTAAACAAAATATGATATCAAAGAGACCATCGTGACTTGAGCATGACATCATAAGACATGAAATGGTCGTCATGCATGTGTTTGGAGAAAATATCAAATTTATACCCATTTCTTGTAAAAAGAAAAAGAAAATTCCATTTAAAAATTTATACTATTATTTAATTAATTACAATAATAATTATACATGCCCGACTCTGCTATATATATTTTTCTATAATTATTTATTCATTTGATATCAACTAAATAAAATTATTTGTTAATTTAATATATATATATATATATATATATATAAACCACATTTTTTAAATCAATAATAATAATAATAATAAATTAGATACATTTAGATGATAATATAGACGAGAATAAGAAGAAAGAACAGTTGTAACGATTAGGACCGCACCAAGTTGAAGGTCACGAGGAAGGGCCTCTATCCCACCAAGTGTCGGCCTCGACCTCATCTCTGCTTTGTCGACGTCCCCACCATCCTAATACTGCCAAAACACTACTTTTTGAGGGTATGGAATTCCATTTTTGCCCTCAGATGTCATTTACATTACGGCCCGGTAGCTATTTATTGGTCATTACAAACAAATCTTTCGCATTTGAAGGTATAATTGGCCAGGCAAGTTGTGGGAATTCAACCATATTTTTAATTTAAACAATAAAATATAATACATATCTGATTCTTTTTGTTAATCAGAATAAAATCTAATTAATTATACAGTTTAAATCATACATTTCTCGAAAGTAAAATGAATTTTGAAAAAGGTGAAGATGTTGGGGGTGTTGACTTATGGTGGGACAAGTAGTAATTTGGTTGAAGTCACATGGAGATACGATCATTCATACAACACTTTTTCTATCTGATATTTCTCAGTGCCAATATCCCATTTAAAATCGATAATTTTACTTTTTTTTTATTAACCTGGATATCCAACCCGTTATACGAGCTGACTAATTTCAGGGCAACCACCTAGATAGCCCGGAGTCATCATATTTGAACCTTCGTGATCACAAGATGATTTTTATTTCTCTTTGAATTTGAACATGGAACCTCCAGTTACTTTTAACCTTTGGACTCAAGCTCAAACCAATCAGACATCACTCATATACTATAATCAAGAAATGAAATACAAATATATATTGATTAAAAAGAGACAAAAAAAACATCAAATGTGTTAAGGTTTGTTGTAGTTTTATTTACTAATACGATTATTTATTTTTTAATCAATGTAATAAATTTTAGTATCTTTTATTACATATCAATTTTACTTGATAATTAACTTGACAAATATTATCATCATAAATAAAAACTGGTTTATTAGAATGAATAAAAATAAATGAAAATTTAGTACATTAATTAAAGATAAATGGACATTTTTGTTACACTTATATTTCTTTTTAATGACTTGTGATCACGTGAGATCAGTCTGTTTTCATAAGACCACTTTTTTTATACTTGAAACTTCACAGCAAAACGCTGTGAAGGTAACGTTCACGGTGTTTTTGTTGTGAAGGTTCGACTTTTTTTTACCTTCACAACATTTTACTGTAAAATTTTAAATGTAAAAACTAATCTCACAAGTCTCACAAAACAAGTTGGTCTCACATTAACTCAACATATTAAAATGTTTTCCTTTTTTGATGGTTTGACCCATTCCTGTGTTCTGGAGTAAAGGTGACATTTGAACCCCCCTAATAAATGGCAAAAGGTGATATTTATGGACTCAAAAGGAGTGATCCAATAAGGGGTCCACAGGGTGTCTCTTTTAGATTCTCGGCTACTACAAAATTGATAACCTTTAAATGCATACATAATTCACAATATATTTCATGTTACTTTTCTATTTTACATGATGTAATATGATGAATTGATGATTGATTATTTTTTATTTTTTATTTTAATCATTATTTATATATATATTCTGATTATTTTTTATAAGGTTTTGAAGATAGCAATCAAAAAAATATATAATATCCATGAAAAAAACTTAAATTACCAAACATATAAAGATGAATTCTTAGACCTAACATTAAATTGTCAGTTAAATAGTTATCAAGATTTTTTTTATTAACCTGAATATCTAACCCACTTTGCGAACCGACTAATCTCAGAGAAACCACCTGCTTTGCAGGTAGCCTGAAGTCACAAGGGGATTTTTGTTCCTCCTTGGATTTGAACCTGAGACTTTCTGACACTTTTGATCTTTGGAGGCAAGCTCAAACCAATCAGGCACCACCCTTGTGGTTAATTATCAAGATTTTATTTAACTAGTTGTGGATTTTATATCAACAAAAATAAACAAAAGGTTGATCTTATGATTAAGTATTGCTATTTTGACTTTTTTTTAAAAAAATTACTTACAATAGTAATTAAGGGTCTGTTTGGAAGTGAGTTGGAGTTGTTTACCAACTATTATCGGGTAAGTGTTGTTTCTGGTAAGTGATGTTCGGATAAGAGTGTCTACCGAATGTTTTTTGTAAGTGTTTACTAACAATAAAATGACCATTATAACCTCATTTTAATAAAAAGACCAACAAATATAATAAGATGTTTACAGATTTTTCCCTTTAATCATTAAACCCCTATCAATCTCAAGAAATCAAAAAATACGTAGAAAACAAAAATCAATTTTAATCAAGAACAAGAGAGAGAAATAGCTAAATCTAGAAGAACAACACATTTTACATTTTATCTGGAAAAAAATATTAAAAGTCAAAATCTCTAAAAAGAATTGCATTCAACTCCAATAGTTATTCGATTTTTAGCATTTTCTAACATTGATTATATTATTAAAATATTTAATATAATTAATAAAATATTATTTTTCTTTTCTAAACATTTATATTCAGATGGTGTTTGGGATTGCTTATTTAAAACAACTTATGTTTTTTTTTGTAAAAATGCTTATTAACTTATGTGGTATAAAACCGGAGTTTTGTAAAAACTGTTTGGATTAGCTTATAGTGATATCAAAAAGCAATAAGCTGATAAGTTGTTTTTCAGTGTTTGACAAATTTTGCTTGTATATGTAAAATGACCAAAAATGACAGTCTTCCATATTATTGACTTATGAGAGTGTTTGAGATTGCTTATTAACTTATTTGATTTTTTAACATGTAAAAATTTATTTTTCATCATTTATAATAATATCTTTGACAAAAATTTATATCAATAAGATTAATAATTAACAAACATTAATAAAACATAGTTACAATAGTAAATTGGTAATAAGAAGTTTTTCATAAGTCAGAAAGGATTAACTTATCAAAAATTGTTTATTACCAGTTTGACACCGGTATAAGCACTCTTATTTTTCCTCATCCAAACATTAGCATTTAGCTTATCATCAATGTCAGTCTAAAATAAGTAAAAAACACATAAAATAAACCTCAATGTGTTAAAAAAACGTATGGGTACAAAATTGAATAATTGAGTTCTCATGTGAAGCCATTTTCATGATATTCCAAATTGGATTGTTTCCCTATAAATACCACCTTCTACAACCAACTCACATTCAATTTGAACCTTTTACAGAACTCTGTTCTTCCCCTCTTTCGCCAAAACTCACGATCATGCAAGAAAACACCATCAATCCTTTCGTTATTGATTCAATCACTGATTCTGTTCGATCTTCACTGTCAAATTTGATCTTAAGAGGTGGGAATACAAGCACCTTGGATTCAATCTTCTCTCACAATTCATCATCATCTGGAGAAGGAGAAGTAGCAGCGGCTACGGGTTCTTCAATTTATCTCCAACAGAGAGATTTTATCCGCAAATTCTCGTCGAATTTTGATACGTCAAAACAAACGACGAGATCCCCGATTGGATTGTATCAGCAATCGAACAATTTATACAAGAAGAAGTTGTATAGAGGAGTGAGGCAAAGGCAATGGGGGAAATGGGTGGCGGAGATCAGACTGCCACGGAACAGGGTAAGAGTGTGGTTAGGGACGTATGAGACGGCGGAGATGGCGGCGTATGCTTATGATCGAGCTGCATATAAGTTGCGTGGGGAATACGCGCGTTTGAATTTTCCAAACGTGAAGGAGCCGACGGATTTGGGGATGATCGGAGATGGAGGAAGGTTGAATGCTCTGAAGACCGCCGTGGATAACAAGATTCAGGCGATATGTCAGAAGGTTAGGAGAGAGGAAGCAAAGAAGAAGGCGGAGAGAGAGAGCTTAAAAGCCGCCGGAAATTCGACGGCGGAATCAGGTGGTGGTGGTGATAGTTGCAGTGGGAGTGATGTGGGGTCATCGGAAGAAAGGGTCTGGAATTGGAAGTGTGAGAATTCTCAGTCGGAGTGTTCTTTTTCCGGTGAGTCGACGGTGGCAGAGGAGGCGGAGACGGGTGGTGGTTGGTCGTTGGCTAGGATGCCTTCTTATGATCTGGATTTGATATGGGCAGTACTTGCTAATTAGGAGTGATCAAATTCAACTCCTTATTTTGACTTTTTAGGATGTCATCGTTTATAGTTTTGTTTTTTATAAATAATGTAATTTTCAACGTAGTTAAAATCGTTTATTCGTACATCAAAATTACTTTCTATGGCTATAAACATGAATTGTGACTAAGATTATAAACGAACCGAACGTTCAGTAAGATTATAAACAAACCGAACGTTCAGTAAACCATTCGTGAATCGTTCGACGGGAAGTTAATTTATGTTCGTTTATTTAATAAATGAACGAACATGAACAATTTTTTTTGTTCGTTTAGTTAAACGAACGAACATGAACATAAGTCTCGTTCGTTCATTTATGTTCGTGAACGTTCGTTCATTTACCGTTCGTTTATATTCGTTTATATATTAAATTTAATATATAATCTTTTTGTGTATTTACTTTGAATTAAATAATATTTATTTATGTTCGTTTAGCCCGTTCGTTTACGTTCGATCGTTTAACATGTTAACAAACGAACATAAGCAAAAACGAACGCACCTTATTTCCAAACGAACGAACACGAACACAAAGATTTTCGTTCGTTTACCGTTCGTGTTCATTCGGTTAAATTAAACGAACGAACATGAACACAAAGATTTTCGTTCGTTTACTGTTCGTGTTCGTTCGCTTGTTCGGTTAAGTTAAACGAACGAACATGAACAAGCCTCTGTCCGTGTTCATTCGGTTCATTTACAACCCTACTTGTGACAAGTATTGAATTTTAACAGAGATGTCGTTATATAAAATTTTAGATTGGGTTCCTCAAACGAATAATTTTAAACATGTGGCTTAATTTTTGTAATGGATTGGGTCTCTTGACCTAACTCCATTAACGTTACCTCCGTTAAGTGAAGGGCATACAAGTCATTTTATCATTTAACCAAAAATAAATTGCAAGTGTAAGTGTATTCAACGACGGGAAAGAACCCGCACTCATCTGTCGCCTCCTCCACGTTCTCCCGCCACCACCATCTACAGCATCCTCCACGTTCTCCAGACACCACCATCTCCGTAATAAAAAATCCTGCTTCATAAATAAGATCCTATTATCAAAACCTAAAACTCTGACTCAAAACACTAGAACAAGAACCATTCGTATGCTTTAAAATCGAACTCAAACCCAAATTCAATTTGAAGACAACACTTCTGATGCCAATAGTTAACACAGTTGACTTTAACCATCTAAAAGTGCAAAACCCAAAAATCAAATTTGTTTTTGTTTGGTTGGATCTGTAAGAACTTTTATTTAGGGGAAACAAAAACCATCTACGCAAAATCAAATCGTGGATTCTGTAACAATTATATATCTGTAAGATTAGGGTCTTTGCAGTTGCAGCCTTGCAAGTTAGTGTCGTTGTTTACCGGTGATGGATCTGGCGAAGGTATGGTGGAGAATAACGACGATAGTCGATAAGGAGGGATATAGCAAAGGAGTGGCGGGGAGCAATGACATGGCGAGGAGGAAGACATCAAGGAAGGAACTGGTTGGTGGTGGTCGACGGAGCAAAAGAGAAGGACGAGTCTGGTTTGTACTGTGTGTTTGACTATGTATATATAAAATAAATGATATTAAATTATATATTTATTTCTTTTTAAAACAAGTATTAAAAAATGTAAAATGACCATAAAGACCCCTAACTTAACAGACTTGGGATCATGTGAGACCAATGGTTTTTCGTGAGACCAGTAAGACCAATTATCAACCCTTGGATTTAGATCTAGAATCTGAACATTCATAATCACAAAATTGCCACAAGACTTCTCAATGATCACAAATTGTCACGGTGCAACTTTAGACCATTAGATTATTAGCTTATAAAAATGATCAATGAACATAAATTGGTCTTACGGGTCTCGCGAAAAACCTTTGGTCTCACGTGAACCCAACCTTATATATATATATATATATATATATATATATATATATATATATGAGTGATCATATGAAAACCGCCCTCATTTGTGTA